ATCCTCCTGCCTCAGCCTCCCGAGTACTAGAATTATAGGCATGAGCCACCACACCCAGCCTACTTTTTCTAAAATTGTACATGGGACTCAAGAGTCTCAGACAGATGTTTATCCAGGGCTGGGCCTTCAGTCCTCAAGCTGCCTCAGGAGATAAAAGGCTAGGAACAAGTAGAGCCCTGGAACACACTTCTGGCTTGCTACAGGTCCTAGTCATGGCCCATCCTGGGCTAAAACCTCAGTCCCAGAGGCTGGAGCAAGAAACTGAGTTCTGGCTGATCAGCTCCTAAAACAAAAAAAGATAAAAAGAAATAAAAAGGCCAGGCGTGGTGCCTCACACCTGTAATCCTAGCACTCTGGGAGGCCGAGGCAGGAGGATTGCTTGAGGTCAGGAGTTTAAGACCAGTCCTGAGCAAGAGCGAGACCCTGTCTCTACTATAAATAGAAAGAAATTAATTGGTCAACTATTATATATAGAAAAAATTAGCCGGGCATGGTGGCGCATGCCTGTAATCCCAGCTACTTGGGAGGCTGAGGCAGTAGGATCGCTTGAGCCCAGGAGTTTAAGGTTGCTGTGAGCTAGGCTGAGCCACGGCACTCACTCTAGCCCCGGCAACAAAGTGAGACTCTGTCTCAAAAAACAAACAAACAAACAAAAAACCATAAAAAAAATAAATAAATAAAAAGAAACTGAGTTCAAAATAAAAAGTAGGGGCCAGGCACGGTGGCTCACACCTATAATCCCTGTACTCTGAGAGGCAGAGGAGGGAGGATCATTTGAGCTCAGGAGTTCGAGACCAGCCTCAGCAAGAGCGAGACCTGTCTCTACTAAAAATAGAAAGAAATTAGCTGGACAACTAAAAATATGTAGAAAAAATTAGCCAGGTATGGTGGCCCATGCCTGTAGTGCCAGCTACTCTTGGGAGGCTGAGGCAGGAGGATCGCTTGAGCCCAGGAGTTTGAGGTTGCTGTGACCTAGCCTGACGCCACAGCACTCTAGCCTGGGCAACAGAGTGAGACTGTGTCTTAAAAATAAAAACAAAAATAAATAAATAAAAAGTAGGGGAAAAAGCACAAATTAATGTTGACTACTTAAAGACCTAAGTGTAGGAAGGGGAGGGGATTTATTGATCCACATAACAGAAAAGGGGAGGGGTATGTGGGCTTCAGGCATAGCTGGATCCAGATGACCTAATTCTCTGGAATTGTCTCCATCTCTTCTGGTTCTGCTTCTTCTGTGGTAGCTTCATGCTCAGGTAGCTTCATTACTCCTTATGGTGGCAAATGACCTGCCAGATCTCCAACCTAATATTCTGCCATTTTAACCACCCAAGAATTTGTCCTTCTCATCAATAGTCCTGTTTTGTTCACGGCTGAACAAAAAAACAGGCACCTAACATGGGGGGTTGAATGAATGGTTCCAGCAAACGGCCTAAGATAGACTCTCACTGGCTCAGACTGAGTCACGTTCCCATCTTCAACCCAAGCAGTGTGACCTCCTTTGCCTGGGTTGCATGGGTGGGGTCAGCCCTCCCAACACATGGATTGAGATGGGTGGGGAGCAGTTCCCCAAAAGGAAGAGATGGGTCCTGTTATCAGAAGGGTTGCAGGCAAAACCAACATGTCCCCTGCATCCTTAAAACACAGAGACCCACAGACCCACAGTGAAAACACATGAGCTTAAGTTCTCATAGGCACTGGGTGTGCTGAGCTCCCAGTGCTGCAGTCCCAGGATAACCCCCCCTTCACTAGCGGAGGATAAGAAGAGGGTTCGTCTCCAAGAATGCAGCTGGATCAGATAGGAATGGGAACAAGTTGCCAGAACCCCCAAATTCCTTCTGGGCCAGGACAGTGGGCAATTCTAGACACAGGGCTCCTCCAATCTTCCCCTGTAACCCTAGTCACGAGCCTCTGATGTAAGATTTCTTTCTTTTTTTTTTTTGAGACAGAGTCTCACTCTGTTGCCCAGGCTAGAGTGCCCTGGCATCAGCCTAGCTCACAGCAACCTCAAACTCCTGGGCTCAAGGGATTCTCCTGCCTCAGCCTCCCAAGAGTAGCTGGGACTACAGGCATGCACCACTATGCCCAGCTAATTTTTTCTATATATTTTTAGTTGGCCAATTAATTTCTTTCTATTTTTAGTAGAGGGCAGGGTCTCGCTCTTGCTCAGGCTGGTTTCGAACTCCTGACCTCAAGCGATCCTCCTGCCTCGGCCTCCCAGAGTGCTAAGATTGCAATGATCTAAGATTTCTTTGTTCACTTGGATCGGGGTGGCATGAAGGACTAGGCCTAGGCTGAGCGCCAGGACTCCTCACATAATCATTTTATGCCTGATCTGAAGAATATCTACTAAGGGGACCCCAAAGTTCCAGCTCCCAGTCTCACTCTCCTATCTCCTCAACATCTTCTCCCCATACCTGCGGGAACAGAGAGGTGCGGTGGGGTGGAGTACCCATGGGAAGAGATCTGATTCGCATGTTTTTCAGAGATTTTTATTAAGAATAAGGCATATGACAGTCACCCCTAAAGCACAGGGCTCTATTTCTGTGGGTGAGTGAATACACTCTGAAAAGCATTGGATTAAAAAGCACAGCCAACAGAGATTTTGGAGCAGGATCCCTCTCCCCTGCTCACGGGGCTCTTGCCAGGTGGTCTGAAGCCCCCCTCCCCTCGCATCCCCCCATTCGAGGTCGGCAGGTCCGGGAGAGGGTGCTTAGACCCTGGCTCTCCCCACTGAGGAGAAGCCACTCCCCCCTCTCTCGGCCTCCTTCCTCTCCGCCGGGGCGGACTCTATCCTGCTGCTTGCATGGGGGAAGGGCTACCCCGTTTTGGCCCTGGTCTGCAGGTCGCTGTGGGTGGGATACAGGGGGCAGGGGCACAGGGCCTCACACTGCATTGCCCAGGGTTCCTGGCTGGCATCCAGGACAGGGAGGGGTCCACACCTGTAGCTCTGCTTCCTGGATCTGCCCACACTTGAGGTGTGGCAGGAGCTCCCTCTAGGGACCCTGAGTGTCCCTGTCCACACTCCCCCACTCCCAGGATTCTCGCAGCTGAGAAGAGGGGAGCAAAAAACAAACCTTTCCCTTTTTAGTCACCCAGACGTTCCAGGGTCTGGGGGTGGGAGGCTTTCCTTTGGCCCCTCGAGCCAGGCCCAGCCAGTCCCATGGAGGGTGGGACCTGTCTCAGGCTCTGAGTCTGAGGGGTTTTGGGTCCCTGAGGGCAAGGGCAGGCCACCAACTCCAGCTCCCAAATCCCATCATGCTTCCCCAAGGGTTCTGTTCCAAACTCAGGGCAGGAAGGTGGGGGATTAATTATTTCCGGGCCAGGGCGGGGGAAGGGGAATTTCTGTGAAAATTGGAACCCTGTATCTGCCTCGGCCCCTCCCCCAGGTTGCCTCATTTCCTTTCCCAGGCACCCCCAACACCCTGGCTGTGACTCAGTGAGTCAGCCGCCCCAGCACGCAGAACTTTCATCTGGGGGATCTCCAAGCACCCCACGAACAATTAAGTGTCATTATCTCTGATTGCTGGAAGAGGGACAGGAATTAGGAGGCAGGCGGGCCACCAGAGGATCCCTGGGCTGGGGTGTGGGGGGACCCCCCAGCTGGACACCCTGGGTACCCAGGAGGGAAGGGGGAAGAGGGCTATTGCTATAGAGCTGGGGGGAGGCCAGGTGGACGGAGCTATGGCTTTCAGTGGGTGGGTGGGCAGATAAAGTACTTCACCATCTCTGCAGAAGAATCAACTAACAGTCACCCTGTTCACCCCAAAAGTGTGATTGTGAGAGATGAGGGTCTGTGGGGGCTCCTCTGGAATGAGACTTTTTCCCTCCTTCCCACAGTCCTCTGGGCACCTCCAAGAGAGAGGAGCGAGGTCTCCCCACCCCACACAGATAGGGGTTCTGAAAGGTAGGGTGACAGAATAGGGGTACAGTGAGTCACGCACACTTTGGAAGGAAGGGGGGACAGAGATGGCACAGGCACAATCACAGAGACAGGTGGGGGGTAGAGGCAGGGGCAGGCAGAGCGAGGACCCCAGGCCACCATCATAGCCTAAGTTAGACTGGAGAGCACTGTCTGTCCCAAGGGTGCCCCCACCCCAGCCATCTGGATCCCAGGAGCTCGACACCCCACACCAGGCCTGGTTATTGCTCAGTGGTCTCAGCAGTCCTGAGTGGGGTCAGCTGGGAGGGGCCGCATGACTGATGGGGCTGGGAGTGTGCTCGCTGGGTTCCATGTCTTGCCAATTTCCTGCTCCCTCCAACAGGAGGAGCCAAAGAGGACTTGATTGGGGATCTCCACCTCTTCTTCGTGGGGGGCCGTGATGGGAGGAGAGCTCATCACCCCTAGAGCTTGACTCTGCTCCCGGCCCAGACCCTGGGTGACACACAGAGTGCGGCCACAGCCAGGGAAGGACCTGCCAGGGATGGGGTGGCTGTGAGTGAGGTAAAGGCCTGTCCCTGCCCCCGCCCCATCCCCCCTGGCAGCCCCTAGAAGACCTCACAGGCACTTAGGACGAGATGCAGGACCAACACGGGTGGGATGGCATGGCGGCTCTAGGGGTTGTGTTTCTTTCTAGGCCGGGCTTGGGGTGGGGGCAGGGAGCTGGACTGAAACTGCACCTCTTCCCTGTCGGGGCAAGGGAGCTGGGGACAAAGGGACTTAGGAGGTGGGGCATCCCACTCTCCATTTCACCACTCCCCAACCTGGACAGAGCACGAGAACCCTGCCACTGCCAGGTTCTGACATGCTTGGGGGCATCCCTGGATGGGGGCGAGGCTGGGGACTAACCTGTGCGCCCACCTTAACCCAAACCTCTCTCTGTCACTAGCTGCCACTTCCAAGAAGCCAGGCCCTCCTTATTCCCACCTCTGGGTGCAGCCAGCCGATTAGGAAGCTGGGCAAGATTAGCACCAATGAACAGTCTTAGGAAGCTCCTGGCCAGCCTCTTGGCTCCCTGCTACCTCCTGAGCGAAGTGCAGTTTCTGCCCTTCCACAAGCCTTCCCACAAGCCTGGCCCGGCAGCTCGTCTCCGCTCCACCTGCTTCCCCAGCGCGCCCGGTCTCCCGCACACCAGGGGTGGCAGAACTCAGCCGGAGACCGCTCTAGACCAGGTTCCGCCACCAAGGCCCTTCTGGAATCCTCTCTAAAGGGGTCTATGCATTCTATCTTCCAGAAGTTTCACTTCCGTCACGCCGCACTTTCCCCACCAGGGGCTCTGGGAGGACGCGTCTTCTAAAGTGTTCGGTGCTCACCTGCAAGGACCTATTAACGGGGTAGGGGTAGGGGACACACGGCTTCGGAGTAAAAGGACCATCCCCTCGCCTGAGCCTCCCCTCAGAGGAAGAAGGCTCGGCGGAAGGCCGTCCGCGCGGGGCTCGGGGAGGCCGGGAGGGGCGCTGGAAGGCCTAGGGGTGCCAGGTGCCACTCTGCGTTCCTTTCCTAGGCCAGCCCAGCCCCCCGCCCCCTAAGGATTGTCAGCTTTCTCAGGGCAGGGCGTGACCCCTGCCGTCTCCCCTCCCGGTGGCACGGTGGGGACCTGATAAGGACCGGTAATGCGAGTCCTCTCCACGAGACAGGTGCGATCGCTCAGCCCCGCAGAAGCGCTCCCTCGCGGGAGGGGAGAGCTCGAAGCTTGGAAACGTTGGGAGATAAAAAAGGCGAGGGCGGCTGGGGCGGGTGGGGGCGCTGGGGCCGCCTCGGCCTTCTCCCCGGAGGAGGGGCGGCTGCCCTCAGCCCCCGGGACCTGCCTGCGGGGCCGGAGCTGGGCCCCAGCCTCCCTTCCCCGCACGACCCCCGCCACCCCCGTGCCTACTCCGGGTCCCCCGGCGCGGCGGGCGGGCTCCGGGAGGGCGCGGGCTGCGAGCTGGCTTGGTCCGGGGGGTCCTGGGGAGGCGGCTGGCGCGGGCTGCGGCCACTGGGCCGCAGGGGCCTCCGGGCGTAGAGGAAGAGCGCGGGGTCGGGCATGGGGTCGGCGTCGTCCAGGGCGCGGGCCGCGCGGTCCCAGGAGGCCCAGTCCCGGCCGGGGCCCTTGGCGGCGGGCTCGGCGGGCGGGCGGCGGGCTCGCTGTGCGCGCCGGCGGGGCCGGGGCTCGGCGGCGCCGCCGGGGCCGGGACGCGGGGCCTGCAGTCTCTGGCGCGCCGCGTGCAGCTGGCAGGAGAGGTAGGCGGCCGCCTCGGTGTGCTTCTGCAGCTCGGTGCCGAGCACCGTGGCGCGGTGGCTGCGGCGACGCAGCTCCTCCAGGAAGCGGCGCTCCTCGGTGCGCAGGCTGCAGCGCAGCGCCGACACCAGCGCCTCGCGTTGCGCCACCTCCCGCCGCAGCTCGGCGTTGGCCGCGGCCCGCGCCGCCAGCTGCGACTCCAGCGCGCGGCACTTGCTCTCCAGCTCCCGGGACGCCGCCTCTAGAAAGGGGACACAGAGGCGCAGGTGATGGTCGGCCTGGCTGAGAACAGAACCTGGGCAGCTCCTCGGGCCACACAGCAGAGCCCTGCTCCTCCCCGCCCCGCCACCTACACGTTCCGCAGCGCTCCCAGTCGCCGCCCACGCATCGGCTGCAGCGGCCTTCCTGGTTCTTCCTCAGGGCCCTGGCACCTATCCTTCCCTCCGCTTGGCCTCTCTAGTTCTTCAGGGTTCAGCTTAAATGCAAACCCTTCCCTGACCCTTTGTTCATTCCACAATTTGTTGCGCCCTGCCTATGCACTGTGTTTGGCGCCAGAGATGTGGTGGCTAATAAAACGGTCCTCATGCAGCTTACAGCGCAGTGGGAGAGGGACAGTAAATAATCACAAAGAAATGTGAGATTGCAACTGTGACATGTGCCGGGGAGAAGTAAATCAATGCTATTATGACTGTAACCAGAGAATGTGACCTAATCAGGGAATGCTTCCCGGCAGAAGAGACAGACACTTGGGCTAGGATCTGAGGATGAGTAGGAGTTAAGTAGTGGAGAGGCGAGAGAAGGACGCTTCAGACAGAGGGAACAGCTTGTGTAGAAGCCTGTGGCTGGAAGCCATGCCAAGCGCAAGGGACTGAGAGAGTTGGGAGTGTACACAGGAAGGGGGAGTGAATGTCCTGGTTTCCTTGATAGAACGTTTATCACATTTTGTAATTTTTTGTTTATTTGTCATTGTCAGCCTTTCCCACTGACCAGGTTTCAACCCTGGATACACACTGGATATACATGGAGAGCTTTAAAAAATCCTGTTTCCTGCCCTACCAACTGGATCAGAATCAGAATCTTTGGGGTTGAACCTGGGAACTAGCATTGCTTCAATCTTCCCAGGTGATTTTAAGGTACAGCCAGAGGCGAGGACCCCTGCCTGGTGGATCCTAAGCTCCATCTCAGCAGGACCATATCCTAGGATGTGGCACACGTGACACAGGTAGTTGAAAGTGGCAAAAGGTGACCCTGGAAGGGACATAAACATCACGAAGTGATAGGAGGACAAAGAGAGCCCATTGAGAGAGAATATAAAAACCAGGACATTGGAGTAGTGATTTGAGCTCAGATGACTCCAAAAGCCCTTTCAGAGGAAGAACAGTAGGTGGGGTGAAAGCTGCCGTTGTCACAGAACTGTCCTTATCTGGTATCTGGGATGTGTGCTGCCTTTCTCCAAGCACCCAGGCACCAAGAGGTCACTGATGGTTGCCATATAAAGAATTGGGCAGAATTAGTGCAAGTCCATAAGTGTTTAGATGATCCCTAGCTGATCTACATGCATGAATACATAAAGCAATCTGTAGGGCTCCTAACATTTTAGCTTAAACTTACAGCCTTCCCTGTCCCCAACTCTTGGTCATGTAGCTCTCCAGCTATAAACAACATAACAATATGGAGGGAGTCAGTCCATTCTTTTTTTTTTTTTTTTTGAGACAGAGTCTCACTTTGTTGTCCAGGCTAGAGTGAGTGCCATGGCGTCAGCCTAGCTCACAGCAACCTCAAATTCCTGGTCTTCAGCAATCCTGCTGCCTCAGTCTCCCGAGTAGCTGGGACTACAGGCATGCGCCACCATGCCCGGCTAGTTTTTTCTATATATATTAGTTGGGCAATTAATTTCTTTCTATTTATAGTAGAGACGGGGTCTCGCACTTGCTCAGGCTGGTTTTTTTTTTTTTTTTTTTTTTTTTTTGAGACAGAGTCTCGCTTTGTTGTCCAGGCTAGAGTGAGTGCCGTGGCGTCAGCCTAGCTCACAGCAACCTCAAACTCCTGGGCTCAAGCGATCCTCCTGCCTCAGCCTCCCGAGTAGCTGGGACTACAGGCATGCGCCACCATGCCCGGCTAATTTTTTATATATATATCAGTTGGCCAATTAATTTCTTTCTATTTTATAGTAGAGACGGGGTCTCGCTCTTGCTCAGGCTGGTTTTGAACTCCTGACCTTGAGCAATCCGCCCGCCTCGGCCTCCCAAGAGCTAGGACTCAGGCTGGTTTTGAACTCCTGACCTCGAGCAATCCCCCCGCCTCAGCCTCCCAGAGTGCTAGGATTACAGGCGTGAGACACCTCGCCCTCAGGGAGTCCATTCTTAATAACTCTTCTGACCAAGAAAGATTATTTTTGTGATTCATTTTTAAGCAGTTACTGAATCCCTCCACGTTAGGTAATGTACCCTGCACTTCAAAGGCAATGAGTAACATCCAGTTCCCATTCTCAGAGATTCTATAAGCTGGTGATTAAGATCTCAACAATACAATCCTCCCTACCATTTTAAAAACTCTTAATTGTGGTAAAAAAAACCCAAAAAAACAAAAAAACACATAACAGAATTTGCCATTGTAACCCTTTTTTTTTTTTGAGACAGTGTCTCACTCTCTTGCCCAGGGTAGAGTGCAGCGGCACCATCATAGCTCACAGCAACCTCAAACTCCTGAGCTCAAGTGATCCTCCTGCCTCAGCTCCTCAACTAGCTGGGACTATTTTTTTTTTGTAGAGACTGAGCTCACTGTTGCTCAGGCTAGTCTTGAACTCCTGGCCTCAAATGATTCTCCCACCTTGGCCTCTCAAAGTGCTAGCATTACAGGCATGAGCTACTGCGACCAGCCAATCATAACCATTTTTAAGCGTACAGTTCAGTAGTGTTAAGTATATTCATGTTGGTGGGCAGCAGATCTCTAGAACTTGTTCATCTTGCAAAGCTAAAAGTCTATACCTATTGAACACTTTCTCCCTAACCCCCCATTTTATGGGTGGAGTAATATTCTGTAAACAAATATTTTAGTGGAATTGCTACAACAGCAAGAAGTCATCTTTTTGTCAAATGCAGGATTTGCTAACATGTGGGTGTCTATTTTCTCCTCATCTAGACGAAGTTTCTTGAAGTCAAGGACCCCATCCTGCCATCGTGTTGCATCTTGACACTCACCCTTGACACGAGAGGGTGTGGACACAGACTGTGTGATCCTTGTGCAAGGATGGGAAGGACTGGGGAGGTGGGTCACAGAATTAAGTGGGCCAGATGGAAGCAAAACACATAGCCATCTCCTTCCTGCTTTCCTTTCTTTCCCCTTTCCTTTGGACAGACATGGATGCAGGCTACTATGTGTGGTGGTGCAGGCTGTTCACTGCACAAGATGATCCAGCTGAGCGGGCAAGTGGGGCTGACATCCTGTGTTCTGCTCAAGAAGCCAAGGTGTGGCTGTCCCCAAGTCTAGGCTGGGGACATAGAAGGCTTGTGTACTATTAAGGGTTGGGGAAAACTCTGCCTGTTGGGCCCCATGCCACTTCCCCACCAGCAGTCTTTCTCTTACCTTGCTGGTGAGATTGGGCCTCTCTCATTTCCAGGTCATGGGTCAGTTCTGGGGAAAGAGAAAGAAAAAGGCAGTTTTTTTAGTGTGCAGCAATAAGGATTTTTGTTTTTTGTTTTTTGACAGAGTCTCACTCTGTTGCCCGGGCTAGAGTGAGTGCGGTGGCATCAGCCTAGCTCACAGCAACTTCAAACTCCTGGGCTCAAGCAATCCTCCTGCCTCAGCCTCCTGAGTAGCTGGGACTACAGGCATGCACCACCATGCCTGACTAGAATCCTTTTTTTTAGAGACAGGGTTTTGCTCTGTTGCCCAGGCTGGGCTTGAACTCCTGGGCTCAAGGGATCCTTCTGCCTCAGCCTTCTGAGTAGCTGAGCCTTCAGGCACATGCTACCGTGCCTGGCTCAATAAGGATCCTTAGAAACTATCTAAACCACCCCCATACCTATTTTACTGCAGCCCAGTAAAGGGAAGAGATGAAGAGACGTGCCCAAGGCATAGCTGGGTCTGACTGGCTTTGATTCAAAGCTCAGAGATCTTTCCAGAATGAGCTTTGAGCCTGGGTTTGAAGTTCAACCCCTGTGGGACTGGGCAGCCTGTCTTGTTTTGGGGCTGGGGGAGCATTTGCCCCTTCCTAGGGTGATGTGCCAACCAATCAGGGAAATTCTGGAAGACCCTTATGGAGTAGGGCTGGAATGTCCATTGCTGCTTGGGGGCATTGGAGGTGGCGGCTACTTACCAATCTGGACACATGCATTTCACAATTTTAACAGCCAGTACTGCTGTGCCTATGTTATTATCAGAACATCAGCACAGACCCTTCCCAAGCCCCAGTTCTGCCATATTCCCCAGGGCAGGAAAGGTTGGTGGGGTTCAGGGAGGGCAGCGCCACCTAGTGGTGGGAACCCTGCAGCGGGCCTGGATTGATCCTGAGTGGGTGGGGCGGGCAGCCAAGGAGCAGCTCAAAGCCACTGGAGCAGCAGCAGCTTCCTCCTGGGTGCTGGCGGCCCAGCCATCACCTCTCTGCCTGCCTGTCCTCCTGGTCCCTATTCCTCAGTGGCCAAGATGTCCCATCTCAGCCCAGCTGAGACTGATAATTTTTCCAGCCCCATTCCATTCCCCCAACTCCACCAGAGCGCAAGGACTGGGAACCGGGCAGAAGGGAGCCAGAAGCCACAGCCGCCTGCGGTGGAGGAGACCTACTCAGGAGCACCTGTGTGCACCTGCGGGGACAAAGTCTGGTGCCCAAAGGGAGAAGGCGTGAACCTGGGGTTGGGGAAGGTAGCGCATCTCTGGGCCACCACCTCGCAGTGCCTACAGAGCCTTGTGGCCCCTCTGCCTGCTGCTTCTCACTGCCCTCCCTGGGCTCTTCTAGAGGCTTTGCGAGAGCTGCCTTCTCTGGGGAGGCAGCTGTTACTAGGAGACAGACAGCCCAGGATGCCTGCGCCTTCTGCCATGACCGGAGCCTGAACCTCTTTCCTGGGGCCCCTGTGAGGATTCTCCTGCCTCCACCCCCCAGGGATTCTTGGGACCAACTTGGCCCTCCTTCAAGGCATTGTGATGCAGCCCAAGGGACCCTGGACCACGTTCAGAGACTTGGGAGTGGGGAGATCTGGGTCTGGGCACTGCCACTAACTCGCTGTGGGCTGGTTTCTCTTCAGCCCTTAACCACCGGATTTGGGGACGGGGGAGACAGAATCCCAGCTGGGCTCCATTCCCCCATCTGGAAAATCCCCCTGCCCATCTTCTGGCCAGAGTCCCTGTGGTCTACATGAGCATGCAGAGAGGTCAGACACACTGCGTGACCTTGGGCCAGTAACAGCACCTTTCTGAGGCTCAGTTTTCTCATCTGGAAAATGGGAACAAAACAGCACCTCCTTATAAGGGACTGTTGCCAGGGTTAAGTGGGATAAAATGAACACAGGGCTTGGCTCAGGGCTGCGTTGGTGCTGAATAGATGGGAGTAGTTCTTGTATGTCCTGCCACCCCAGGACACACCCACCAATCTCTGGAGCCTTTTATTCTGAGTCCTCACCCACCTTCAGCCGCCCCCAGGCAGCCTGTGTTCTGGGCTCTTACACCAGCCCCCTCCTCAGCCCTCCCCCCAGCCCCTGGGTCCCTCTCTAATTGCCTTCCCCTTATCTCCTCCTTTGTTCCTCTCCCTTCTCCTCCTGCCACCTCCCTCTTGGGTCATCTCCAGCCCAGCCCAGAGTTATTTTTATCTCCTTAGTCGATAACCAAGAGGCTGAGGGCCCATACCCATCTGAGAAGGGCAGTGTGGGCCAAGGGCCCTCTCTTCCTGCCAGTTACACTTTTTTGGGATCTATGTCCTGAGTGGAGGGACCACAGGTCCTCAGAGTTCTCCATTTTCCTTTACTCTTATTGCAGTGAAAAAGTGGCATCAGGCACGGGAGAGTCTGTGTGGGCCAACCCTGTCCCCTGGGCTGGCCTTTGCTGCCAAGTGGCCTTTGGGGGAGACTGCAGTGAGCTGGCCTTGGAATGCGCAGCAGAACCTGTGTGTGGAACGGCAGGAGGCCGTGGTGGCCGAGAGTGAGCACTGCTGGCTGTCCGTGCCACAACGTGAGAAGCCAGGTGGGTCACTCAAACCCTCTGGGCCTCAGAGCTTCCCTCTGGGCAGTGGGGAGCCTCCCATGAGCAGGGGCTGGAAGGGAGGTCGTGGTCTGAGCGTCTTGGGGAGGACCTGCAGAGAGATGCAGAGGGACTGGGAGTCTGCAGCTCTGGTTTTTTTTTTTTTTTGCATGGTGGAGAAGTCTAGGCTTTTAATTTACCCGTCACCTAAATAGTGTACGTGGCAGAGCTCTGGGTTCTGATCCTGACTCTGCCACTAAAAGACTGTGTGACTCTCTCTCTGGGCCTCAGTTTACCTACTTGTACAATGAAGAAGTTGGGCCCTCCCAGGTAAGATGGTCTATGAGCCACTGGCTGTAAAGCCTGTACTTGGAGACTTGGCCTCAGGGAGCATTTGGGCCAGAGCCAAGCCTCTGAGAGGCCCAGACAGCTGAGGCCCCAGGTCCAAGAGCAGAGGCCAGGCCGGGCCTGGGATTTCACTGCATCTCTGGTGCCTCCCTCTGCTCAGCTCACAAATCCAATCAGTGGCCGATAAGTCCCTTCAGCCTGTGTCCCCCTGGTCCTCCCCTTTCCATCCTCTCCATCTCTGCCCTGGACCATTCATTGGCTCTGCCACTCGTCTCCCTGCCTCCCTCTCACACCAGCTCAGCTTCTATACAACAGCCAGACTGGGTTTCTTAATACAGTATAATGCTGATCGGGCAGCACTCTGCTGCTCAAAAACCCTCAGTGGCTCCCCACTACCCAGACCAAACTCCTTGGCTATCCTGTAAGGTCTTCTACACTCTAGTACCACTGGACTTCTCACCAGTCTCCTTTAAGCACAGCTTTATCCAGTACAATAGAACTATTTATGAGCTTTTGGTTTCCTACCTCCTGGCCTTTTGCTGTTCCCTTCATTTGGGATGCTTTCTTCACTCCCTTCCCCTGTAACATCTTAGTGTGTGTGGTTTTTTTTTTTTTTTTTTTTTTTTGAGACAGAGTCTCACTCTGTTGCCCAGGCTAGAGTGGCATCAGCCTAACCCATAGCAACCTCAAACTCCTGGGCTCAAGTGATCCTCTTGCTTCAGCCTCCGGAATAGCTGGGACTATAGGCATGCACCACCATGCCCGGCTAATTTTTTATAAATATATATATATATGTTTTAGTTGTCCAGCTAATTTCTTTGTATTTTTTTTAGTAGAGACTGGGTCTCGCTCTTGCTCAGGCTGGTCTCGAACTCCTGAGCTCAAATGATCCCCCCGCCTTGGCCTCCCAAAGTGCTAGGATTACAGGCGTGAGCCACCATGCCCTGCCAGTCTCACTCTTGCTTAGGCTGGTTTAGAACTCCTGACCTTGAGCAATCCGCCCACCTCAGCTTCCCAGAGTGCTAGGATTACAGGCGTGAGCCACCGCGCCCGGCCTATCTCGGTGTGTTTGCACATTACTGGGCCTTCTGCAGGCTGAGTCTCCTCCTCCATCACCTGCCCCTCAAACTGGACACCATCCTGCCCATGAGCTCTTGCTTTATTCTCTGCCACATCTTGGTATGGTATGTGTTGGTATCACACATTATCTGTTGGTATGTGCGTCTCCCCAACCAGACTGACATCTTCTTGAGGGCTGGGAGGTGCTCCAGAAACAGTGACTTGAGGACAGGACTCCCCAGGAATTGTCAGGCTTCCCCCCACCACCTAACCAGAGCACTTTGTCCCAAAACTTTTTTTTTTTTTTTTGAGACAGAGTCTCGCTGTGTTGCCCAGGCTAGAGTGCTGTGGCAGCAGCCTAGCTCACAGCAACCTCAAACTCCTGGGCTCAAGCGATCCTCCTGCTCAAGCCTCCCGAGTAGCTGGACTACAGGCATGCGCCACCATGCCCGCTAATTTTTTCTATATATATTATTAGTTAGTCAATTAATTTCTTTCTATTTTTAGTAGAGACGGGGTCTCGCTGTTGCTCAGGCTGGTTTCGAACTCCTGACCTTGAGCAATCTGCCCGCCTCGGCCTCCCAGAGTGCTAGGATTACAGGCGTGGCCACTGCTCCTGGCCTGTCCCAAAACTTTTATCTCACCTCCCCAAGTCTCGGTTTCCTCATCCAGAAAAGGAGGAGCAGGATTGGTGTGAGGCGCACAGCGGCTCATGGTGGGCACAGACAGCGACTGTGATGGTAACAGTGACCCTTCCCTGCTCCCTGCACTCCCCCACCCCCAGCCTTTGCAGCCCTCCTGGCCTCACCTGAGCAGCGTTTCTGCAGCCTCAGGATTTCCAGGTGCAGGTCTCGCAGCAGGGCCATCTGCTCCTTTTTCAGGAAGCTGATGTGGCGTTGCACGCTCTGAATCTGATGCTCCAGGGACACGGTATCCATGGCAACCCAGGCCTGGGCCCCACCTGGGGAGGACGACAAGGTGAACCCGCATCTTTGGAGCCCATCTGCCCTGCCCCGCCCTCAGATCCCTTGTTGTCTTCGTCTCCTCCACTCTGGGGTCCTGTTGCCACCAGGTAGACAATTCTGCTGCTGTCCTTTCCCCTCTAGTTACTCACTCGAGCTTCACGAAAAGCGGGTATACTGGCAGGAAAGTATAATTATTCCCATTTAACAGATGAAGAACCAGAGGCCCAGAGGGAAGTGCCCCACTCTCCTGCTCCCATGTAACTTTAGTCTCTTCTACTTCTTAGGAAGACACACGGAGCAGCCGAGTCAGCAGACAGACGCAGATGACTCGGGCTCCAGCCTGCCTCCGTCACTGGCTGTGGGACTTGGGGCGAGCCCTCTCCCTCTCTAGGCTCTTCGTTTTCTCATGGTAAAATGAAAGACTTGTGGAGTAAAGGACCCTTGAAGTCTCTTCCAGCTCTGACATCCCACAAGTCCGTCAGCTCCGGGGCAGCAGGACTGCTGTGCGCACAGCCCTCCCCGTTCAACCTGCTTCTCCCACTCGCCTTCGCCCCAGGGCTCTGGGCTCCTCCAAGTCACAGAGGAGGAAGATCGGGCTGCAGGCGGGTGGTACAGTCCCTCTATTTTTCTTTTTTTTGAGACAAAGTCTCACTCTGTTGCCCAGGCTAGAGTGCTGTGGCGTCAGCCTAGCTCACAGCAACCTCAAACTCCTGGGCTCAAGCGAGTAGCTGGGACTACAGGCATGCACCACTATGCCTGGATAATTTTTTCTGCATATTTGTAGTTGGCCAATTAATTTGTTTCTATTTTTAGTAGAGACAGGGTCTCACTCTTGCTCAGGCTGGTTTCCAACTCCTGCCCTTGAGCGATCCTCACGCCTCGGCCTCCCAGAGTGCTAGGATTACAGGTGTGAGCCACCGCACCCGGCCGGTATAGTCCCTTTTTAAAAGAGGAATAGGACAGGGTAAAAAGGACACCTACACAGTGACTCCCATGGTGGAAACTGGGATGGGATGGGGCGGTGTGCACCCCTGAATCCTAATGATGGCCCGGCTTTCCAGCTCTCCTCCGGGCCGCGCCCCCTTCCCAGGGAGTCTCTTCTGTGGTCAGCAGCATCGTGGACAGGCAGAGGCAGAGAACAAACACGGGAGGCCCAGGCCGCTGCAGCCCAGGACTCAGAGCTCCTGCCTCCTCTGCCAGGGACTCCCTAAGCTCTTGAAGGACCTGCCTCCCTCTGACCCAGGAATTCCCTGGGCAGTGGGAGGGGGAGACCCGTAAGAGGGACAGTTCTTTTTTCTTTTGAGACAGAGTCTCACTCCACTGCCCTGAGTAGAGTGCCATGGCATCAGCCTAGCTCACAGCAACCTCAAACCCCTGGGCTCAAGTGATCCTCCTGCCTCAGCCTCCCCAGTAGCTGGGACTACAGGCATGTGCCACCATGCCTGGCTAATTTTTCTTTTTTTTTTTTTTTGTTTTTTTATTTTAAAGTGTCTAAGTGAATAATTTTTCTATTTTTAGTAGAGACAAGGTCTCACTCTTGTTCAGTATGTCTTGAACTTCTGAGATCAAGTGCTCCTCCTGCCTCGGCCTCCCAGAGTGCTAGGATTTCAGGCGTGAGCTACCGCGCCCTGCCAGAGGGACAGTTCTATTCAGCAAATGGTCCTCTCCAGACTGGCTTCCATGTAAGTCTCTGAAGGTCCATATTTTCATTTGTAGGCTCACATCAAGCAGGTCAAGCTGAGAATCTCACATCCTCAGAGGCTCCTCTCTCTGGGCCCCTTCCCTGGTACTCCCCCGACTCCCCTAATCCAACCAAACAGGCCTTGCATTCCAGCAAGGGCGGCCTTTTGGCCTGTGGGGATCACTGGCTGCATTCCGTGACCTTCGGTGATGTTCGAGGCACTTTATACACATGGTCTTACTTCTGCCCCCCGCTCCTCAGTAGGTACTGCCACCCCCATTTCACAGACACAGAAACTGAGACTCAGAGCCAAAGGCACGTGTGCCAGCTCATACGCTCAGTAAGCAGGGGCAGACCCAGTTCTCCGACCAAGTCCTTAGAATCCAGAGAAGGGAACAGTCCTGGGGTTGAATCCTGGCTCTTTCAGTCACCTGCTGTGTGACTTTGGGCACAAAGTCTCTGAGCCTTTGTGTCCCCCGCCATACAATGGGGCTGTGAATAGTAACAGTCCTAGGGGTAGCCGTGAGGATTCATCGAGATGAGAAATGTAAAGCACTTAGCACCGGACCCGGCTCAGTCCATGCTGCATCCCTTCCTCCTCCTCTTCTCTGTCCGTTTAATATACGAGTAAGTTAATTTCTGTCTTTTTCTTTTTTCTATTTTTAGTAGACATGGGGTCTCACTCTTGCTCAGGCTGGTCTTGAACTCCTGAGCTCAAGCAGTCCTCCCTCCTCGCCCTCCCAAAGTGCTAGGATTACAGGCGTGAGCCACCACACCCAGCCAATTTCTGTCTTGATTTGCTCATTTTTTTCATTCATTTATTCAATGGTCTATTATTGCCAAGTGCTGCGCTGGGCGCGGTGGCTCACGTCTGAAATCCTAGCACTCTGGGAGGCCGAGGCAGGAGGAGCACTTGATCTCAGGAGTTCAAGACCAGACTGAACAAGAGTGAGACCTTGTCTCTACTAAAAATAGAAAAATTAGCCAGGCATGGTGGCACATGCCTGTAGTCCCAGCTACTCAGGAGGCTGAGGCAGGAGGTTTGCTGGGCACGGGGACATGGTGATGAACACAGCAAAGTCCCTCCTCTCATGGGGCTCAGGGGGCAAAGAGAGAGAAACAAATAATGTGTCAAACAAAAACGTATATAGCTGCAATCTGTGATAAGTGCCACGGAAGAGACCTACAGCGTACTGTGAAAGAATATAGAGTGGGACCTATTAGTTTATTTTATTTTTCTGAGATTTTACTGTACTTGCAAAGGACCTATTTTAGATTTGGAGTCAGGAAAGGTCTCTTGGAAGAAGTGACTTTGAGGCTGGGACACTAGAAATTACGGCGGGTGGCCACTGCCTCCTCGGACCCTGTCCAAACTTTTGATCATCACCTCCCAAGTCTCGGTTTCCTCCATCCAAGAAAAAGGAGGAGACAGGATTGGCTGTGGAGAGCGCACAGCTGGCTCATGGTGGGCACAAGGACAGGCAACTGTTGATGATAACAGTGACCCTTCCCTCTCCCTGCACTATCCCCACCCCCAGCCTTTGCAGCCCTCCTGGCCTCCACCTGAGCAGCGTTTCTGCGCCTCAGGATTTCCAGGTGCAGGATTCGCAGCAGGGCCATCTGCTCCTTTTTCAGGAAGCTGATTGGGCGTTGCACGCTCTGAATCTGATGCTCCAGGGACAACGGTATCCATGGCAACCCAGGCCTGGCCCACCTGGGCGAGGACGACAAGGTGAACCCGCATCTTTGGAGCCATCTCCCTGCCCGCCCTCAGATCCCTTGTTGTTCTTCATCTCCTTCCACTCTGGGGTCCTGTTTGCCACCAGGTAGAACAATTCTGCTGCTGTCCTTTCCCCTCTAGTTACTCACCGAGCTTTCACGAAACGGTATACTGGCAGGAAAGTATAATTAATTCCATTTAACAGATGAAGAACAGAGGCCAGAGGGAAGTGCCCCACTCTCCATGCTCCCATGTAACTTTGTTCTCTTCTACTTCTTAGGGAGGAAGACACACGGAGCAGCCGAAGTCAGCAGACAGACGCAGATGACTCGGGCTCCAGCCTGCCTCCGTCACTGGCTGTGGGACTGGGGGCGAGCCTCTCCCTCTCTGGGCTCTTCGTTTTCTCATGGTAAAATGAAAGACTTGTGGAGGTAAAGGACCCCTGAAGTCTCTTCCAGCTCTGACATCCCACAAGTCCGTAAGCTCCGGGGCAGCAGGACTGTGTGCGACAGCCCATGCCCAGCTAATTTTTTGTATATATTTTCAGTTGGCCAATTAATTTCTTTCTACTTTTTAGTAGAGACGGGGTCTCGCTGTTGCTCAGGCTGGTTTCGAACTCCTGACCTTGAGTGATCCTCCCGCCTCGGCCTCCCAGAGTGCTAGGATTATAGGTGTGAGATACCTCGCCCGGCCCAATCAGTAGATTTTGAGTTAATCAAAAGGGGGGTTATTCTGGGTAGTCCTGACCTAACTGGGCAAGCCATTCAAAAGAACTCCGAGTAAATGACCCAGCTAAAATGTGCCAGATTCTTGGCCCTTAGAAACTCTGAAATAAATTTATTTATGTTGTCTTAAGCCTCTAAGTTTACGGTAATTTGTTACACAGCAATAAAAAACTAACACAGACTTGAAGGAGGGGTAGGAGTTAGTCAGAAGAGTAAAGGGAAGAGCATTCCAAACAGGGAACGGCATCTGTGAAGGCTCAGAGGCAGGAAAGAACTAAGTGGTGATAATGATAAGTTACATTTACTGAGCGCACCTACTACTGTCCAGCTTTGTGCTAAGTGCTTCGCATGGTCTGTTGAGGAACCGAGACGTTGCCACTGCCAGTGAGGGCTGAAGGGTAAGGTATTGGCGGAGGGTCGCAGGAAGGGAGGCTAGCAAGGGAAGGATCGCATGGGGTTATTGTAAACTATGTTAAGAATCTTGGATTAAGACTAAGTGAATTGGAAGTTACTAGAGGATTTTAAGCAGGGGAGGAATATGATATGATTTATATTTTTAAAAGATTACTCTTGGCTGCGGCGGGGAGAGCAGACTAGAGCCGGCAGAATGGATGCAGGGAAGTCGGCTGGGAGAAGGTAGCAGTAGTCAAGGCGATGGTGGCCGGGACCAGGTGATGGAGGTGAAGAGAGAGAGAAGTCCCAGGTGTATTTTAGAGTTAGGATTGGCAGGACTTAGAGATGGATTAGATTGGCATGGTGTTGGGGCGGGAGATGTCCAGGACGTCTCCCAGTTTTTTGGCTTGAGCAACTCAAGTATAAACATACCTTTGCTGGATCTTTCTCTGTTTCCTAAATTTTCACTTGGATGTC